ATTCAATCCGTCCGATAATCGAATGCGCCCATTAATCGAAAATGACTGTTGCAACATCACGGCGTTTGTTCGAGTTTTGAAGGATCCTACAGGCGTTTTGTGGCATAATTTCATCAAGTATTTTACTCACTTTCTTTATATCATTCGAACCTTAATCCGCAAATATTCTTTGTTATGGCCTTCAATATTTCTGGCGTTGTGTTTAACCTCTTCATATAGTTATGATTCAAAGAAGGAAACTGGATATGTGGGCCTGAAGAATCAAGGTGCTACATGTTATATGAACTCGTTACTGCAATCACTCTACTGCACGACACACTTCCGTAAGGTTAGTGCACGATATTTCATCATTATTATTTTATTTTAGTTCAAAACTTTCTAACATCTATCTACATTTATTTATAGGCGGTTTATCAAATTCCTACCGAAGACGACGATCCGGTCAAAAGTATTTCCTTAGCACTGCAAAGAGTTTTTTATCAATTACAGACGTCAGATACTCCGGTTGGAACAACGGAATTAACGAGATCTTTCGGATGGGATTCGTTAGAATCATTTATGCAGCATGATGTACAAGAGTTTAACAGAGTGTTACAAGACAACTTAGAGGGTAAAATGAAGGTGGGTTTTATCATTCGTTGAATTGGACGAATTTTAACTAATCCAACCCTTTCTTACTGTAAATTATAACGGGCATTTTAGAATACAGGAGCAGATGGTGCTATTTCTAAGCTCTTTGGTGGCAAGATGAAGAGCTATGTTAAATGCGTCAGTGTAGACTATGAGTCTTCCCGTGTCGAAGATTACTATGGTAGCAATCTATTTTGTAAATAGGTTAATATTTTTTTTAGATTAGATTTGAAATAACATTTAATTATATTGCGGTAGATATTCAACTTAACGTAAAGGGGTGCAAGACTTTGGATGATTCTTTCATGGAATATATACAAGAAGAGACTTTGGAAGGAGAAAATAAGTACCATGCTGAAGGCTATGGCTTACAAGTAAGTAGATTTTTAGTTACGTCGACATTGACAACTAGGTGTAGAATACGCATAGTTAAAATTACTTCATTTAGTGCAAGTATGTTAATTCTAATTGCCTATAGGATGCGAAGAAAGGAGTAATTTTTGAAAGTTTCCCTCCGGTGCTTCACTTGCAGTTAAAACGGTTTGAATACGATATGCAAAGAGACACCACGGTTAAGGTACCCATACCTTATTTAATTTTTTATTATGAGCTCTATTTTTCAATTAATTGACCAAAATATGTATTTTTTCATAAAAGATAAATGATCGTTATGAGTTTCCTATGGAAATTGATTTACAAAGATATTTATCACCAGACGCAGATA